GCACAGAGGCCCCGTGGGGTGATGGAATGGCCACGTGGTGTGATGGAGGGGCTTTCTAGGGGGATGGAGGGGCTTCCTGGGGTGGTAGAGTGGCCTCGTGGGGTGTTGGAGAGGCTTTCTGTGTTGGTGAGGGGCCTTGTGGGGTGATGGAGGGGCTTCCTGGGGGGATGGAAAAGCTTCAGGGGTGATGGAGTGGCCTTGTGGGGTGGTGGCAGGGCTTCCTGGGGTGGTGGAGTGGCCTTGTGGGGTGGTGAAGTGGCTTTCTGGGCTGGTGGAGATGGCTCGTGGGCTGATGGCGATGGAGCGGCCTCGTGTGGTGGTTGAGTGGCCTTGTGGGGTCATGGAGGGGCTTTCTGGGTGGATGGAGATGGCGCGTGCGCTGGTGGAGATGGCGTGTGGGGTGATGGAGGGGCTTCCTGGGTTGATGGAGGTGCCTTGTGGGGTGGTGGAGGGGCTTCCTAAGCACCCCAGGTGGCTGTGGGGCACCGTGTTCGGCCCAGCTCCAAGCGGGGGGGATGCAGCCGTTGGCGGAGGCAGCGGGCAGGGGAGAGGTGGGGCTGGAGGCAGGCAGCAATGCCGTTTCTCATCACGGACGAGCGGGAGGAAGGCGGCCGCATTGCGTCATTCCTGGAGAGTGCTCCCGCGGGGCCGGGCCGATGCGCTCACTCCTCGCCAGCCCCGGGAGCCGACAGCCTCGCTGCTGACGGCTCTCAGTCGGGAGCCTCCATCCCCCCAAACACATCTTGGCGCTTGTCCGAGGCTACCGCCGGCCCTCACCCCCAACGGGTGCAGGCGGTGCCAACGCCGCGCTCCTGCCACAGTCCTTCTGCCCTCGCCAGCCCTTCTCCTCCTGCCCTGGTGGAGCCGAGCGCGGCGCGGCGGAACTCTGCCGGTGCTGCCAGCCACAGCCCGGGCATTAACGGGCCCCTCTGCCCCCTGTCCTGCAGCCCCATGGCCGGGAGCGCTGAGATGGCGTCCCTGGAAGAGAGCTTCCGCAAATTCGCCATCTACGGTGACACCAAAGCTACGGGGCAAGAGATGAATGGGAAGAACTGGGCCAAGCTGTGCAAAGACTGCAAAGTCACCGATGGCAAAAGCGTCACCAGCACCGACGTGGACATTGTCTTCTCCAAGGTGAAGTAAGTGACTCGGCTTTTTGGGGTCCTCCGGCTGCTCGGAGGCTGGGGCTGTTCTCGTGGTGCCTGGGTGCAGTGGTCCCCGGGGAGGTGTGGTACCCCGGCTGCATGCCCAGACCATCAATGGTTCCTCCATCACGGAGCAGCAGGCGCTGCATCGCGGCGTCCTGCCTCTCAGGGAGTTTGTGTGGCTGCTTTTGCAAGACCCGATAATAAATTAATCCAAATCTGGAGGGTGGGAGGCTCAGGTTTTGGTGCAGAGGCTGTGCCCTCACTCCGCTCCCAGGCATCGAGGTGGGTCTGGCCAGTTCTGCACACCCATCTCGCGAGAAGGTGCCGCAGGGCGCGGAAGAGGGTGCTCAGGGATGTTCTGCGTGACGTGGCACAGCCCATCCCTGGGTTTGGCCAGCCCTCACCTGAGCTTGGTGGGGACGTTTGCTACTCAGAGGTCACGGGGGCAGCGGAAGGGCTAAAGGCACCTGGGGGGCTGATTTTGGGGTCTCCGAGGATGTGCTGACACCCGATGCTCTGCACCGGGGTGCAGGAGGAAGGATGGGTGGGGAGCCTGCTCCCTCTGCACCCTCTCTCCAGGCGTCCCCTTCAGCCCCGGTGGGGCCAGGAGGTGCTGATCACCGGCAGGTTTTTGGCATGTAGGAGGGTGGGTCGCAGTGCTGCCCCAGAGACGAGGCAGAGACGGGAGAGATGCTCTGTGCACATCCTTCCCAGTTTGACCCGAGAAGGACTGGTGCCTGCCAGGGGACAGAGGGTCATCCCAGGCAGGCTGGGAGCAGTGGGAATGGATGCGCGTCCCCTCCTGCCACCAGCACCCAAATCCCAGGACACCACCATCAGGTTTTTAGCGTCGAGGACTTTAACAGCACGTGGCTGAAAAGCTGCTGGAGCTCAGCACTGGCTGCACCCACCCTGACCTGTTCCAGCCAGCGCTGCGCCGGCCGTAGCCGCATTTCGGAGGTGGGCGAGGGGCTCGTGGCAGGCAGAGGATGAAGCCGGGGGAGTCCCTGCTGCAGCTCAGCCCACTGCAGCCCCGTTTGGAGGCGCAGCCTGAGGACGTGCTTACGGCAGCCCGGATTTTGTGCTTGCAGAGGGAAGACAGCCCGTGTCATCAACTACGAGGAGTTCAAGAAGGCGCTGGAGGAGCTGGCCCCCAAGAGGTTCAAGGACAAGAGCAAAGAGGAGGCGTACGAGGCCATCTGCCAGCTGGTGGCAGGGAAGGAGCCCATTAACGTGGGCGTCACGGTGAGCGAAGAGCCCCTTGGCTGCAGGGAGTGGGAGGGATGGTGGGGATGGGAGGACGGAGCTCTGCCCGCAACGCCAACGCTTTCCTGGGCGTGCTGGGGGTCGCACAGGTCCCCGAGGACACAGCGGGTCTGCTGTGGGTGTGTGGGGCTGGTGTGGGGCAAAGGAGGAAGGGGATGGGGCACGTTCCTGACTCCCATTGCCTGTCTCCCCACGGCAGAAAGCCAAGACGGTGGGGGCCGTGGAGAGGCTGACGGATACCTCCAAGTACACGGGGTCCCACAAGGAGCGCTTCGACGAGAGCGGCAAGGGCAAGGGCAAGAGCGGGCGGGAGAACATCGTTGACACCAGCGGCTACGTCAGTGCCTACAAGAACGCGGGCACCTACGATGCCAAAGTGAAAAAGTAGGGAGGGGTGCCCGTGGCGCCCACCGCCCCGGTCCCTGCGCCTCGGCCCC